GCGCGGAGCGCGTGCGCGAAGGTGCGCGGGGTCCCCGGGAGGGGTGGGGCGGCGGGCAAAAGCGAGTGCGCGTGCGTATGCTCGACGTGAGTGCGTGCGCGTGCGCAGTCGGTATCCTGGGTTTCTGGGGGAGTGGGCAGTCGCGGGGGGCAGGGAATGAGGGCACCTGGCGGGGAAGCCGGGGGGTGCCCACGTAAATGAGCTACAGGGCCAGAATAAGGCGCGCGGGGCTCGGCTGCCTGTGCCTGTAACGTGCGGAGTGTGCGCACGCCGCAGGTGTCGTTCGGGCACCTGCGCCCGCCGGTGGCCGCTGGCAGCGGATTCCGCGCTGAGCGTGCGAGCTCTTTGTGGCGGGGGCTGGCCGGGCCGCTCGGGCGCCCACTCCTCCGCCAGCGCCCTGGGGGATGGCCGAGGGGAGGGTCTGGACGAGCGAGCCGCAGCCCCCTTTTCTGGCCCTGGCAGCGGCCAGGTCCCGAGGTGTGATGTGCCCGTTTGTTGTCCGTGGCACGCAATCATGACCCGGTGTCCAGAAGCCATCGGAGGCCGTGACACGGTGGGAAGCAAGCGTGGGGCAACGTGGGACAAGCTCAGGAGAGAGGTGAGCTGGGGCTGAGAGGGTGGGCCCCGGCGCTCGGGGCGCCTGCCGGGGCACTGCCAGAGATGGACCTCATCAGCCGCGGCAGCAAGGTGTGCCAGGCCCCTGCCACACGCCCGGTGTCCCCGAGGGCCCCTCCACGCCTGCCCAGTGAGCTGCCGCCTCCGAGAGGCGTCAATGGCACCGAGAGCTGTTGCAGTCCGGGCTTCTGGCCTTACAGCGGCACAGGATGGTGGCGGCAGGTCCTTTGGGGTGCACTCCCTGGACCTTGCTTAAAGGTGAAAGCGAGTCTGAGCAGGTGCCTGGCCCTGTTAGCGCGGAGCCAGGATTAGCAGCATCGTGAACCTAGCACCATCAGCTCCGGTCAGCTTCCTATTAGAAGCGGCTTTGGAGACTTTTAAGCAGAATAAAAGGAACCTTTTAAAGATGTCTGTGGTTTGCCTTAAACACCCCACCCCTCTTTTTAAAGCGGCTTCTTAGCTGACCTCAGGGGAGTTACGGTGCTAGTAGGTAAGTAGGCAGCGTCACAGGGGGTCCCCCTACCCCAACACCAGCTTTGTGGAATTCAGTGCATCCTCCTTCAGGTCATTGTTCCAAGGCAAACTCATCTTCTCATGTCTTTAATTTTTCTGTGTCACAGAACCTAAATTGCTAGTGAGTCTATGAGAAACACACGTTTACATTCACCCAGCGAAAACTGTCATGTCTGATCGCAGCCCATGTGGGGGCCAAACAGGACGCCGAGGTGTCTGGAGTGCAGAGCTGTCGGGCAGCGCAGTCCGGCTCCCAGGAGCCCCTCCGCTCGGGACTGCCCTCCCCTCTCCCTCAGCTCGCCCTTCTCTACTAAGAGCAGAAAATGAGCAGGTCCCAGGTGAGTCTGTGTGTGTTTCTTCTTTGTTTCAAGTAGGCTTCCCAGAGTCTGTAAGTGTACATTTTTAAGACGACAAAGTGGAACTACCAGAAAGTGTACATGGAGGGAGACACTAGCAGGTCTAACACAGAGAAGTCGATGAAACTAGGTGTAGGCCTTTTTTTTTTTTTCCAGTTATCCAAGTTATTGAAGATTTCCTCTGGCCTCCCTAGTAACAGCCCTGAAATGAATGCTGTGTGTTGGTCGAATTTAATTTGCCAGTATTGTAGGATTTCTGCATCAGTGTGGTTGAAAACTCTTTAGTTTTTCATAGACTTTCAGTAGTTTTGGTGTCAGGGTAAGGTGCCTCAGATGAGGACTTGGAAATACTGTTTATTGGAGGAAGCGGTGAGACTTGGCGTTATCTTTTCCTTCCAGGTTAGGGAGAATTCACCCGGCACGCCGGCTGGCAGCGCTTGGCCTTTCTCTTCAGGGAGCGTCTCACTGTGCTTGAGAAGGCGCTCTGCAGGCAGCAGTCTGCCCAGGGCTTTCTCCGTGTGTGGAGTGCTCACGGCCCCTGCGGGCCGTTCCACCCAGACTCCGCACGGGCCTTTGGGGAGTGCGACCTGGCACACCCCCTCGCTACTCTTCTGATAGCTTCAGGGCCAGCAGCGTCAGCCTCGCCTGCATTCCCGAGGTTCACTGCGTGCCTCTTCTCTGCTTCTCTTGGTTAGAGTCTGGACACTTCGTTGCCTTTAAAGCGTTCAGTTTTTTTGACTGAGTCTAATCTGTGTTATTTATTTTGCTTGCTTTAGTCTTAATTTGCCTTGTTTTGGTTCTCACTTGCTAAGCTGAAAACCTGTATTGCTGATTTTAAGCTTTCTTTTATTATATACACTGGATACACCGCTTTTACTGCATGCCACAGATTTCAGTAAGTGTATTTAAGTATCTCGAGGATTTTGCAGCTAGCTCTCGCTTAAACGATTTCTTCTTAATTTCATAGTAGTCTGAGAACATATCTTGTATTACAGGCATGGCTTCACATTCGCTAGGGTGAGTTTGGCGGCTTGGCTAGCATCTGTCCTGGTGAATGTTCCCATTGAGCCTCAGCAGGATGGTAGAATGTGCTATTTTATTGCTTCGGGTAGAGTATTTTGTGCGTGTTGACGTTAGTGCTGTTCAGACCACCTACACTTGGTGGTTTCTGCCTGCTTGATCTTCTGTGCTCAGGGTTGTTGTAGCTGCAGCAGGGGTGTTGTAGCTGCAGCTGTGACCATGGAGATGCCTATTCCTTCGGCCTCCTCAGTCGTTGCCTCCGCCCTTGGGCACTCCGCCCTGCGGTGCTCCTGTATTCCAGCTTGCCCCTTTCGCGCACGTGATTTGAGCCCTTTTTGGGAGGTTTTGTTTTCGCATATTCTTCCAGGTCTACAAAAATAACCCTTATACCTGTGTGCCTGGGCGGCATGCATGTCCTCTGGGCCCCACGACCGCCGCAGGGTCAGTGGCCGCTAGGACCCTCGGCGCGTACTCGTTTGTAGCTGATTTTTAAAGTGAAAGGACACAAAACATAGTCAGCAGAAAGGAAAGGCCCCTGGCTCCCGCCCAGGGACGCACGTAGTGACCCAAGCGTCTTCCCAGAGGGCTCTGGGGCGCTTGGCCAAGGCATGCGACAGACCCGAGGCAGCTGCGGGTGATGTTTCCGGTACGCAGCTCAGTGCTTTTCCAAGGGCCGTGGCGGAGACAGCCTGCCTGGCGCCAAGCAGAACTCCACAGCGCCGGAGGCGCGTGCGCGGGCTCCGTCCTGCTGCTGGGGAAACAGTTCAGGCGCGTGAACCGTTTTTCTGTAAGAACGGTAAGAGCTTCCCGGAATTCAGCGCCCAGAGACCAGCCTGGGGCTTGTGGCAGGCCTTCTGAGGCGTTTGGGCGACCACTGAGGCCTGCTCTACTCCTCCCTGGGAGACTCGCCCCAGCTCGCTCTCGCTCTCCCTCTCTGCACTTCTCCTAGTGGGGTTTCCTCATGGTTTACTGTCAGCCGCTGATTTTGAAGTTCTTGTCTGTCACGTCTCCGTCCAGATTCCCACCGGTCTGCTGCTTTGCCTCTTCACGGATCGTGATGTTTCTTACTGGATGCTACACAGTAATCTGAAACAGACAGGCCGTGGCCGGGGCTCTGCGCTCTCTTCTCGCCCCCTCAGAAGCCACTCTGTCTCTGGCGGGGTAGGAGGACACAGGACTGTACCCAGTGCGCTGAGCTCGCTCTCCCCCTGCGCCCTGGTAATTTCAGTTCACTTCCTCTCTGGAAGTTAACATGATGACAGGAAATAAAACATGGAAGAACCACCTTTGCCTTATAGCCGGGTTGTGCATACTGCTGGCTCCCTTACTATCTTGTTGATGCACATGAGCACGTCTGTCTCCTTACCAGACTGTAGATACCCTTAGGACAGGAACTGCGTTTGAGGTTTTTTACATTAGTATTTGCTGCAAATACAATACTGCTAGGCCCTCGGTGAGACAGGATTTGGAATTTTTTTTAATCCAAGTTACTATAGCATAAAGGCATCTTATATGTCATTTTCTAGTAAATTCTGAAGAGATTAGTTCTTTTAAATAATTTTGACATCCTCTAGTTCTGACTGGTTCATGTAGGAAAAGGATATATTATTACAGGAACGAGTGTCATTCAGAGATGTATGTGTGGACTTCACCCGGGAAGAGTGGTGCCTTCTGGACCCTGCTCAGAAGGTGCTATACAGGGACGTGATCCTCGAAAATTACAGCCACCTTGTCTCAGTGGGTAAGATTTCGCCCCACATACTGCTGATAGCATGCGTTTCTTAGTTGATGAAACTTACAAAGTTTTCTGATTTGAAGCTTGGCAGTCGAGGCCCCGAGACCCCCTTTGAGTACTGTGAAGAATGCTCTGTTCTTTCCTCCCCAGGAATTGGCTTTTTTGGGCAGTTCATGAAGCTGTATCTAATTCCCCCATCATTTTTGCAGAGTTCCTAAAGCCAGGCTGATGAGCCATAATCCTGTATTATTTTCTCTTAAAAGGCTATTGTATTACTAAGCCAGAAGTGATCTTCAAGATAGAGCAAGGAGAAGAGCCCTGGATAGTAGAGGAGGCATTCCCAAGCCAGTGCTGCCCCGGTGAGTTAGTGAGTCCTAGGTGGGTGGAAGCCAGAGCCTGAAGGGAAATCTTAGGCCGGTGGTTGAGGGTGTGTAGCACCTTTGAAATGGTTTTCATTTTTGTTTGCACCCCAGACCACTGGAATGACCAAAGGTAGTGGCTGGTCCCTCTTGCCTTAGCCTAATTTCCTCATGTTTTCATCCATGAGTATTTGCCTTGGCTCTTGCCATTTTAGAATGATCTAGCTATACCTCTAACCTAAACTCAATTGACTTTATCGTAGATCATTTTTCTTGGTTAGTTCATGTTTGAAGATCATTCCCCTTCCCTCCGTTTTCCTTGGACACCTTTTGCTAGCCACTCCCTGGTTTCCTGTGCTTTGCATTTTATTTTCCTGTTTTCTGCCTAGTTTTAAAGGTTAAATCTATAAAGTGTTACATAGCATTGCCAGTTTCCTCTGTGGTACATTCTGGTTTTCTATTTTGGTCTTAGTTGGTACTGGGGAATTGACCTGAAGCAGAAAAGTTGACTACTTAATAGGATATTTGTGTAAAATCCAATTCTATTAGAAATGCATTAGGATTTATTAGATGTGGTTTTCTCATTTCTAGAAGACTGGAAAGTTGATGACCTGATAGAGAGCAGCCAGGAAAATCAAGATGAACAGTTTTGGCAGCTTGCTTTTACCACCAACCAAACGTTAAATGTAGCAAGCAGTGATAGAGTAAGAAAAACTTTCAGTCTGGGTCCAGAACCTTATTCTTCAAGAAATTTTCCATGTAACATATGTGACTCGTGTGAAATGGGTCTGAAAAATATTTCAGGCTTAGTTATTAGTAGGAAAAACTATTCCAGAAAGAAGCTCGATGAGTTTAATGTATATGAGAAACTTCTCCTTGACATTAGGCATGAGAAAACTCCTATTGCAGGGAAGTCTTCCAAATACAGTAAGAAAAGGAATAGCCTCAGTGGTAGCCAGGATCTCCTTCAGCCAATTTTTGACCAACCTTATGAGTATAATGAACGTGGACCGGGCTTCCACGAGGCAGCTTTTTTTGCAAGTAAGAGAGCTCAGATGAGAGAGACACTCTATAAGTATGATGGATGTGGAAGACCCTTCATCCAAAGTTTAAAGCTCAGTTTATCTCAGAGAACTGACTTGGAAATGGAGCCATGTGAATGCAGTATTTGTGGAAAGTCCTTCTACATGAATTTAAGATTGGGACATCAGAGAGCTCCCACAGGGGATACTCCTTGTGAATGTAATGACTACGGACAGATATTCTGTGACAATTCAGCCTTCATTATCCGACAGGGAGCTTACACAAGAAAAATTCCCCATGAGTATAAAGTCAGTCACAAAACTTGGGAAAAGGCAGCCCTCTTTAAACATCAGATAGTGCATATAGGGGGGAAACCTTATGAATGCAGTACAAATGGAATTAATTTCAGCAAGAAGTCACATCTCACCCAGCTTCGGAGAGCACATTCAGGAGAAAAAACCTTTGAATGTGGTGAATGTGGGAAAACATTCTGGGAGAAATCAAATCTCACTCAGCATCAGAGAACACACACAGGAGAAAAGCCCTATGAATGTTCAGAGTGTGGGAAGTCCTTTTGTCAGAAACCACACCTCACCAACCATCAGCGAACGCATACAGGAGAAAAACCCTATGAATGTAAACAGTGTGGAAAAACGTTCTGTGTGAAATCAAACCTCACTGAACATCAGAGGACGCACACGGGGGAGAAGCCTTACGAATGTAATTCATGTGGGAAATCCTTCTGTCACAGATCAGCCTTAACTGTACATCAGAGAACACACACAGGCGAGAAACCCTTTATATGTAATGAGTGCGGGAAATCCTTTTGTGTCAAGTCAAACCTCATTGTACATCAAAGAACTCACACAGGGGAGAAACCTTACAAGTGTAATGAGTGTGGGAAAACCTTCTGTGAGAAATCGGCTCTCACTAAACATCAGAGAACTCACACGGGGGAGAAACCCTATGAGTGTAATGGGTGTGGGAAAACCTTTAGTCAGAGGTCAGTACTCACTAAACATCAGAGAATTCACACAAGGGTGAAAGCTCTTTCAACATCTTGAATGTTCAGAAGCCTTTACCCTCCTGTCTTAGTAGTATACACTTCCAGAAAATAAAGTTAATGAAACCCAAAGAATGCCACAAGTTAATGGGAAGTGATGTTTCATTGTACTTTGGATGATAATAGAATAAAACCTTAATGTTTTGAGTGTGAAAGCCTTCAAGTAAAGTCAAAACTTTGTATCAGGAAATTTATACTGAGGAAATGTATTAAGTAATGTAGTAAAAACTATGTAGAATTTATGTTGTGTGCTATATTCTGGATATGATCCAAGTTTTTATTGTAAGTATAATGGATGATATGCTTTGATGACCATATTTACAGTGGAACCTGAAGCTTTAAAAAGGTTGGCAACAGCACTAAACATACATGTATGAGTCCCTGATGTTTGCAGGCCTTATTTGAGTATGTGAATCTAATAGGAGCTTGGGGTCTGTTTGATTTGTATTAGAAGCCAACATGCTTGTGAAGAGAAAATATGAACCCTTAGTTAACTGTTACGGTTTGTATTAGTATTTTCCACACTAAATGCCACAGTGTTTTTATAGATTAACATACATGTAAATATTTTTGTACTGCCTATCCCCACACATGATTAGAGGTATGCCAGAGTAAGCTCACAGTAGCTTGTAAATAGTGCATTTGTTATGTCTTCAGGAATTGTATGTGCCAGTTGTTGAACAGTCGATCAAAAAATTAAATTATAAAACTTAAACCAATACATGAAGAACAAAGGTAACAGCTCAACATTCATCCCTTCCTAGTTACTTTGCTGCGTTGTGCTGTTTTTGTTCTCCAGGTTACTTACTGAATCTGCACTGTGAAATACTGTGTGATGTGCTATCTAATGTGGGAGCTCACCATGGAAATGGACAAACTTTAGAAATCAGGATTTTTATTTTCTTGGAGAAACTTTTGTCAAACATCTGCCAGCACACCACTGAATATGTGTGCAAATACATTCGGACGATTCAAGATACAGACCACACCTCCCTCTTTCCTGTCACAAATGACTCGGCCATTGCTCAGTGGCCTCATCAATACCGAAGTCAAAATAGGTTTTTGTGAGGTTTAAATACCTCTGCGGCCAGTCGTATTTTAAATACTGGTAGTGTGTCCAGTAGGTGCTCTTTCACAGCCTCACCACCCACCTTCCCTCTGGCCTTGCTGCGGCATATGAATGAGTATGGCCATTATTACTGAACTTCCACTTCTATAAGGAAACAGTATTTTTGCAAGACTTCTCATCTGCTTCCGGTTCAGTCGATAAGGTAAATGTTAATAGCAATGGTTTTGCAAAGGTTGACATCTGTTCCGTACAGTAATATTGCCCTCTACAAACAAGGGTTGTCCTAGAATGTCACTTTCCCCACACTCGGGGTGTTTCATTGCTGTATGTAGGCATGGCGTATGTAACCCAAGGTGTGTGCGACCCAGGAACTGTGTGTGCTTAATAACAGCGTCACACATTGTCCCTCTCCTCTGCCCTACTGTTTGCCATGTTTCCTTGGAATACACTGGTTGATGCTGCTTGCCAGACTGCTTATCTGTTCTTTCTTCAGATGATTTAGGGGTAAATCTGAGTTACTCATGGAGGTTCTGTTCTGCTTGTGTTTGGGTGAGCACGTGAGCAGCGAGATGTTTGGAAAACACTCAGCATTGCTTCTGGTAAGATCTCAATGAGGAGATCGTGGCGTGAGCAGGGCGCTTTTCTGCTGGACAGCTTCGTGTCTGTTAGCTACATCAGATGCCGCTTGCAGCCCCACAGGGTGATAGCCTGAAGATAGCAGCACCAGGATGGGAGAGCCTGGAGCAGCACAGCTCTGGCCTGCTGTCTCCCAGGACTTGGCATCACTGTGGTGATGACCTTTGTCCTCATACTGGCCGTTGCTTAGAGCTGGCTGTGGTCCCCTTGACCCAGACGCATGCTTTCCTGAGTGTTAGATGTTCTCGACAGTAACTTGGGGGAGGGATTATTTCAACAAGTTAAAAGAGGGCTGGCTATTTCTGTCAGCCGTGGTCCTGGTGTAGAACTGCCCCATCTCAGCATCTGAACAGCAGACCTACCAACGTGGTGTGGATCGAAAGCCGGGGATCTTGCAGTCCCTGGGAACCAGCACTGCAGGGAGCCACTGCTACTCAGAGCTCTGCACGGGCATCCCCAGGGTGCTGTCACGAGGGCCAGCTTTAGGAGACACTGCCACCAGCCGCCTGTGGCACCGAGTTTGGTGGGCACAGAAGGTGGGGAGAAATTCTGGGTGGGACCGATGGAGAGTAAGCAGCACAGTGCTTTTAATGCTTGTAAATCCCTGTGTCCGCTCTCAGTATTAGAAATAAAGTTATTCTAGTAGTTAAACTCGGTGTTTGTGCTTTGTATTGTCCTAAGGAAATCCCTTCTGGAACTGGACACTGCCAGTCATTACACTGCGTTACTCATACACCTTTCTGTTGTCGTTACCTGGTCGGAGGTAAGCAGCTCTCCTTATCTCAGCACTGCATGAAATCGCACTTTCTGCAGAACCACAACGCACACTGTCACCACCCTTGACGGGCACCTCGTCGCTAGAAACAGTGACAAGTCAAGGCCGCCCCTCTGCCAGTGGCCCATTGTTACTATCTAACCCTTTTTCTTACTGGCTTAAGAGGATATTTTTAACCTGAACTTAAACATCATCTAGTAACTATCAGAACATTCTGTGTCCTAGTGATAGAGCTTGGCCTTGTGAGCGGATTGCCACTTACCCAGCCGATGGCATCTTCTGCTGGCTTCACATTTGTTTTGACCCAGGAGCCTACTCTTGTTGAAGGCTAATGAGAATCCACTTTAGAGCATTTTTGAGATATTACCACGACCGGAAAGTTTGCCTTCTCTGATGCCAAGAGCCGTGTCAGGAAAATACACCTGCAAGGGTGGTGATCGTGATTAAGTGTGTTAAAAAAAAAAAAAAAGAGGAAAAACTTAGTCTGGTTTTACTTAGTGTGGAGGGGGAAGGCTTCATTGGGGAGGGGCCCTGGGACATCGAGGTGCCAGGGTAGCCAGCAACTTATTATGTGATTTTGTATCATGAAACTATAAAAATACTGTAGTAAGCTTCGATGTTTAATTTTATATTGCCCTCCATTCTGTTAGAGGCAGTACTGTTAGGTGAACTGACTTTACAGCCAACAGATGAGGTGTCTCCAAGAATCTGAAAATAAGTGCTCAAATATGTGAGGGCAAGTGAGAAACCTGGGTAATACCCGTTTCTAGAGGGGTCACATCCACCGGACCTGGCTGGGCAGGGTGGGTGGGGGCCGCTGGGGGGGCTCTTGCAGGTACCCTGACCACTGCCCTGTGCTGACCGCAGCTGGAGACTGATAGCTGCCCAGGGTCTGCCCTCTCCCAGGGAGGCTGGCCCTGTTCTAATTCCTGCTGGAATTTCCAGCGGGAGTCCACTGAAACATCCCTCTGCCACCCAGTGCCCGACACTGCACGCTTCCTGAGGAACTACTCCTCCTTTCCTACCTGGCACTGCCTTTCAGACTCTATAGTCCAAGGCGCTTTCATTAAAAAAAAAAAAAAAATTATGCACACATGCATTGGGGTGCAGGCCAGAGATGAGGGGTGAGGGGGCTCACTCACAGTGGGAACTAGACCAGGCAGATCTGCTGAAACATGGCTGAGGGGAGACAGGAGAGTCTGCTGCGCCCTCTGGGTCACTGCCTGGCCGGGGATGGAACTCGTGCTGTGGTGGCTGCGGACAGCTCATAGTGCTGCGCTTTAACAACCTGCACCACCAGGCAGGGCCCAATAAATAAATCTTGTAAAAAAAAGAATGAATCTAATATTTCTTGAAAGAAAATGTGGTTTTCAAATGGTGTTGTTCATTCTCACACAAAGGTTTTACACTAGAGAGCAGAGGGGTTTTGTGCATTTATTGAAATATAATTGCAAACTCAAAACCCGTCTTTTTACTTCAATAAGCTTTTGCTGCACGAGCCCTTGCAGCGTGGCATCCAAAATACTTGAGTTATCTCAGCGCTGCATGGAATTGCACTTTCTGCAGAACCACACCGCACACTGTCACCACCCTTGACGACGGGACACTCCGTCGCTAGAAAAAACAGCAAACAGCGACAAGTCAAGACAGCCCACCTGTCCCCAGACTCTCAGCCTTTGCCCAGTCAGGCAGCGGTGCAGCAGCGGCAGCCTGGAGAGAGGGTCACGGGGCGCGAGCTCCCGCGCGGTGCCTCACGCAGGCTGCAGGGTCCCTGCGCGCGCCCGCTGCGGCCCGCCC